GTGTGACTGAATATCAGACAAGCCGTAGAAAAGCTAAAAAAGTTATACGTACAAAGAAAAGGATGTACATGAAAAAGAAAGTTGAAGAATTTCATACCAATAACAAAACGGGGAAATTTTATGCAGCTATAAGACACATAAGCCATGGCTTTCAACCAAAAGTGGACACCTGCAAAGACAAGAATGACAATATAATTGAAGAGAAAAGCCTAGTCATAGACAGATGGGCCGAGCATTTTGGTGACTTATTGGATAAGAGTGAAAATGAAGAAAGCAATGCTGGAGTACTGATCCCAAACGACACTGACATTGAGCCACCAGATATAGAAGATGTAACCGAAGCGATATAAAAGCTAAAAAATAATGAAATATCAGGCAAAGATTTACTAATAGCCCAATTCTTTAAAGGTAGTAGCGAGAATATGCTCACACATCTATATAATTTGGTCTTTGACATATGGATGAATGAAAGCATGCCTCAAGAGTGTGGGACTAGTTTGATTTGTCCCATCTTTATCAAAGGAAATAAACTACAATGCAAAAATTACTGAAGAATATTCCTCTTGCAGGTAGCATAGAAAATATTCTCAAATATTATCTTGAAGAAATTAAATGTCTATGCTGAACGCATTCTAGGAGAATATCAGTGTGGGTTCCGTAAAGAAAAAGGAACAGTCGAACAAATTTTTGTCAAGGTATGAGGTAAATATTAGAAAAGTGTTGGGAGTACAAAACTACAATTCATGTTGAGAAGGAGTTAGTCGAGGGTGCGGTCAAATAAATAAAAAATTAAAATATATTAATTATTTTAATTTTTGCCGACGTTTCGACCCACTTTGCAGGTCGTCTTCAGGGCTACAAAAGATAAAAAACATGTTGAAAATAAAAAATAAATATAAGTATATATAAAATAAGAAGAAGTTGTCAGATACAGAAATAAAAGATGGTATCATATAGACCCATATATATGATTTATTCAAGAACAATTCATGTTCTTTTCATTGATTATCACAAAACTTTCAACAGCATTAATAGAAGAAATTTGATTAAAGCACTAATAGAATACAACATTCCGAAAAAGATGATAAGATTGATCCAGATGACTCTAAGCAATAGCAATGCCAAAGTTATTGCCAATGATAGTGTAAGTAGTACATTTGCAATATCAAACGGTGTAAGGCAAGGAGCTCTGTCCGCCACTCTCTTCAACCTAGCGTTACATAAAGTAGTAATAGAATAAATACGCAAGGAAATATATTTCATTCAAGCATTCAAATCTGTGCTTATGCAGATGACATTGCTCTTGTTGACAAAAAGTGCTCAAACTCTTATTGAAATTTTTAATATTATCTATGCTGAAAGTAAAATTATGGGTCTTGAAATAAATGATTCAAAAATGAAGTATATGTCCATTGCTTCAGAAAATTCAAGAAATTCACATAACCTTGTGGTGGAAGGACACGTTTTCGAAAACTTCAATACCTTTACTATCTAGGGGCAGAAATAAATAATGAAAACAGAATTATGACTGAGGTGCACATAAGGATAATGGCCGCTAACCGTGCGTATTTCGCGAATTTAAAGCTTTTTAAATCATCCTTGATATCAAGGAAAACGAAAATAAGGCTATACACTACCTTAATAAGACCCATACTTACGCGGCTGAAACATGGACGATTACTGCCACCATGACAAATTCGTTAAGGGTCTTCGAGAAAAAGATCCTGAGAAAAATATTTGGCCCCTTGTACGATGAAACAACTCAAGCATGGAGGATTAGAACCAATAAGGAACTATATGATTTATTCAATCATAGTGAAATTGTGAACTTTATAAAATCATGGCGGATCGAATGGTTGGGGCACGTTCTTAGAATGCCAGATGAGAGGATCCCAAAAAAGATGGGCAGGGAACTCTGTCCTGAATAAAGATTTTGCTTTTTTCCAAAATTGAAATCTGTTTTTCTTTATTCCAGCAAGTAAAAAATTGTTAAGATAAAATACTTTAATATACTTTTTATTTACTTTAAATTTGGAATGAAATAAAATTTTTACTGAATAGGTTGTAAAAAAGTACTGAAAATTAATGAAAAAGTGAGAAAATTAAATTATTTGTAAAAAGAAAATTATTTGTGACAGTGGTAAAAAAATGCAACAATAACATGTTTACTAAACTGAATATAACTGGAACAAATAAAGATGTAATAAAAACTACAATGTGGAGGCGAGCATCTCTGATTGCAAACTGCCAAACAATAGGTAGATTATAAGAATCCCTTATGTTTCATCTGAAAGAGTCAAAATTAACAAAAGATCCAATCAGCCTCAAAAAGTTAACTTGAAACTAATAAGTCCTCTAAAACACAATGCTTTATTTCTTATTACTACCATACTGGCACAGGTATTAATTGGGGAACTAACCCATCAAGTGAACTTCACAAACCTTTTTGCCAACCCCTCATGACTACCTATAGATTGCTGCCCCATACTAACCAGAGCGGGAATGTCATTATTTATTTCTTTGGTATTCTGAGAAATGAATATTAACTGATTCAAATGGGAACTGAACCCATACCATTCTGAACCTGGCACTCTGGGACTCTTGCTCCAATGTGCACTGCCATCACAGCCTCTTTTACAACTGTATTCATTACAGATTATTTTTATTAATTGTAGATCAAGTTTATTAGATCAAATAAAAATGTAAACAAAACAACTGTTATACTTTAAAGATTTTGTACGCATCACCTGGAACATTCTTGAATTTGAATATTCTGGAACACAAATTTGAAGTTTGCTGGCAAAAGTTTTTTGTGCACTTTTTGACCAAATTTTGACACTTATTTCAGTTTTCGCCCTATATCTAAAAAAGGAAGCGTTTTTTCGCCAAACCCATTCTACTCAAAATTCATTTTTCATGTAAGGTATATTGGGTCTGTGAATGTTTTTTTGGAGTGCTCTAGCGGCAAAACGGCTGGTCCCGTGATTGTCAACCTTCTTTTTTGTTGCAGCGGCGATTTCCATGTAAATTGTGAATTTCACTAGATGTGGAAATATGGCCGCTTTTGGAGCCTCTAGCGGTGAAACGGTTAGTTTTACAAAAAAAGTTTTTTATAATAAATATAGGCAATTTTGTCTCAAGTGAGTTTGTCGAAAAAATGCTTCCTTTTTGAAATATCAGCCGAAAACTGAAAAAAGTGCCCAAAAATCAAAGTTCTGGGCAAAATTTTTGCCAGCAAACTTCAAATTCATGTTCAGCGACACAAAAAACATAAAGGGTGAGAAAATCAAAACTATAGCAGAACTTGTTTCTGAAAATCTTAGTATGCCTAGTCTATAAATTGTAGATAAATATATATGAGTGTGTTCTCATATTTGTGCGGATTAGCAATATAGATAATAAAGAGAAGAATAGTTGGGGTGGTCAGTCAAAAAAGAAGGCAAAAATAAATGATGATATTTATTTTTACATATGCCGACGTTTCGACCTGAAGTTCAGTCCATCATCAGGGCTAAGAAAAGAACCAGATAACAAGGTATGAGAAATATAAAAATTACAGTAAAATGAAGTTGTTACAATAATGACAGTAGTAAGAACAAGAGACAAATAATAATAACAGGTACAAAGTGTGGATTGATGAAGTAAACATAGTCAAAAAAGGTGACATAGTATGTAAAGGAATCTAGAATAAAATTACTAATTCACTATATCTTAATTTTACTATTTATTTCCATTTCTTATATAACTTCATATTTTTCTGTTTTATATTTTATTCTAAGATTCCCTTTACAATACTCATGTCACCTATTTTGACTATGTTTACTTCATCATTCCACACTTTGTACCTGTTATTATTATTTGCCTCTTGTTCTTACTACTGTCATTATTGTAACAACTTCATTTTACTGTAATTTTTATATTTCTCATACCTTATTATCTGGTTCTTTTCTTAGCCCTGATGATGGACTGAACTTCAGGTCGAAACGTCGGCATATGTAAAAATAAATATTATCATTTATTTTTGCCTTCTTTTTTGACTGACCACCCCAACTATTCTTCTCTTCATTATTCACGACAGTCAACCATTTACCATTATGAATATAGATAATATGTAAGTATCTGTAAGATAACAGTAAAATGAAGGTTACGGCTCTTAAATATAGAAAGTTTTTCTTACATATATTTGGAAAATTGATTGCTGATGAGATGGAAGAATAAATAAGGTTAAGGAAGAGGATTTGCATATGAAGGTAGATAATGAATTCCAAAATAAGGTATCACGCATGATAAAGGACTTTTGTATGAAACAGTTGTATGAAAAGGATATTGTGTTAAACGAATGGAAAGAAGAACAAGGAGTAAAGAAATCAAGAAGATAAGAGGCACTTTGGTTGTAAAAGTTTGGAAAAGGAATACATCTAGGAAATACTGCTGTCGGAAAACTGGATAGAGCCACTTCAATTCGGCATTTCAACTGGAGACGTGGGAGTGCCTGGAAATTCCAAACTTGAATCTAAATGAAACAATTCATTAATCTCCTCAATCTTATCTCAAGCCCATCAAACAATCCACCGTATACTAAGTAGCCACAATCAAAGTGAGGGAAAATGAGAGAGGAAACAAGGATCTGACATTGTTGGCATAGAATCATGGAATCTCAGGAACTGCTTGAAGATAGCAATAGATTTTCAGGTAATTTGGGAAATATGGTTATTCCAGAAAAGGTACTGATCAAAAATTACCCCAAGATTTCTAACAGAAGTGTTGAAGCAAATAGATAGTCCATTGAGATAAAGTAGTGGATAATAAGGGATGGAACGCTTGGACCCGATAGCAATGGCTTTGGTCTTCTCAAGATTTAACATCAAACCATTGCTCGCTGACCATGCGTTGATGCTGTTTATGACTTTATAACATAAATATTATGTATAAGTACATCTATAATTATTTGTTTTTGGTTTTAACTCCATAATTTATTTATTTATTTTTTTCCTTTCTAGGTTAGTTAGGGGGATGAATTTCTCAGTTGTTGTTTTTGATACTGCTCCTACTGGCCATACTTTAAGGTTATTATCATTTCCTCATGTTATAGAAAAAGGATTAGGAAGATTATTGAAATTAAAAATGAAAATATCCCCTCTAATTACACAGGTTTGTATTAAAAACTACTAATGAAAATAGATTAAAACAATGTTAACTAAAAATCAAATGAACTATTTTCAGTTGACATCATTATTTGGAATGGGAGAATTTAACATGGACACTGTTTCTCTGAGAGTTGAAGAACTTTTAGAAACAATTAGACACATCAACCAACAATTCAAAAACCCGGTAATTAAGTTTTATAGTATGCATTTTTTATTGGCTTTGTTGTTATATTTCTTTCCTTGGAACTAACTTTACAGTAACTGAAAGTGATATAATAAATATTTTTATTTCATTTTTTAAAGTGATATGTGATTGGTACTCTACCGTTAGTGAGTGTCACAATGGTGATGGTAGGCTCTTATTATCATATCACAACACTCATTGGGATGGTTGGCAATGTAGGTGCCACTTGTTATTACTATTACTCTATCAGAGTAACTATCCATTACATGGTCCTTGCCTTCTCAAGCAGGTTCTGACAGTTTAAACTGCGAAATGCAGCTATCCTTCAATTCTGAATTTTGGGTAGGGTCCATGCACCATCCACACATCAAGGCAGATGTATATATTGAAAAGATAAATAAATATTTTTGCTTCCTAAGTATTAAAGTATTAGATTTGTAATATGATTAAAAGCAGCTATTAAATAGTAGTATATTACTTATCACAAAAAAGCATCTATTTATTAACATTTGTCAATAAAAAAAAAGGCTAGGAACTATACAAAAAGTATGGGAAGTGGGGTAGCTGAGTGGTGGAGCACTCATCTTCCAATGCTCAAGGTCCCGAATTCAAATCTCAGCTCAAGGCAGAAAAATTATTTATCCTGTTTCATTAGCCGTGGGGCGACCCTGGGATCAGGAGACCCTCCTGTGGCACACCCAGCCTCTGTAAAGTGGATACCCTTGATTAAATAATTAATTAAGGGGGGACTTATTTCGCTACTTACCAATGTTATATCCAACCTCATTCCACTGCCAAGAAATCCATAAATGTCCTCAACCAAATTCCTCTCCATTCTCCTTTGGAATGCGAATGGTATTCGGAACCACATCAACGAACTGACAATCTTATTACATGACAAAAACATCGACATAGCACTAATAACTGAAACTCGACTAACCAACAAACGACAAATCAACGTGCCCGGCTACAATATTTATCGAACCGACCATCCTGATGGAACAGCACATGGTGGCACTGCCATAATTATCCATCGATCCGTTTCCCATCATTTGTTTCCCTTACCAAGCCATAATTTCCTACAATCCACAACCGTAATAATCCAAACACCCCTTTACCCAATAACACTAGTTGCGGCATATTCCCCGCCTAAAACACCCATTTCCGAATCCCAAATAATTTCCTTCCTGAATTCCTTAGGACACCACTTCCTCCTAGGTGCAGATCTAAATGCAAAACACCAGCAATGGGGAGCCAGATCTACAAATTCCCGAGGGCGAACATTGCTATCTGCACTTAATTCCCATCGCAGCAACATCCTTTCACCTAATACTCCCACATACTGGCCAACAGATCCCGACCTTCTAGACTTTTTCCTCCACAAAGGTCTAGGATCACTACACTGTTCTATTTCAAGGTTTGATGATCTTTCCTCAGACCATAGTCCTCTAGTCCTAACCGTTTCCACATCTCCCATTCCCAAATCATCCCCACCTTCATTTATTAGGGGGCCAGTTAACTGGAACCTTTTCCGTCAAATACTGGAAGATAATATTGACCTCAGAGTTTCCTTAAAAACACCTGAAGACCTCGACGATGCAGTGCATTCCTTCACTACCCTGATCCAGCAAGCAGCTTGGACTGCATCCTCACCTGATCGTCCCAAAAAATACCATAACATAAATCCTTTACCTCAAGATCTATTGGACCTAATCCATAGCAAACGTTGCTCTAGGACCCTTTGGCAAAGAACCAGGCATCCTGATGACCGGAAATCGTATAATTATTATTCCAAACAGGTAAAAAAGAAACTGGAAACTTTTAAAACCCAATCCTACAATTCCTACCTCTCCTCATTATCCGCTAGTGATAACTCCCTCTGGAATGTAACCAAAAAAATCCTTAAATTCCAGTCCATTTCCCATCCACTTCGCCGTGATGATGGTTCCTGGGCTTCGTCAGATGCGAATAGAGCAGAGGAGTTTGCTAAACATTTATCCTACACATTCACCCCTCATCCCGAACTCCATCCCAGCCACACTGCTGAAGTTGAAGAATTCCTCTCTTCACCAATTCCTCTCTCTCTACCTCCAAAACCTGTTAACCCCTCTGAGGTCAAATTCCTTATAAACAAATTAAAACCCCGAAAATCCCCTGGATATGATCTCCTCACTTCACAAATCCTCAGACAACTTCCCAAAAAAGCAATCATATTCCTTACCTATCTATACAACTGCATCCTTCGCACAACCAACTTTCCTTTGGTGTGGAAACATTCCATAATCATCCTGTTTCCAAAACCAGGTAAACCTGTTAATAACACATCATCCTATAGACCGATAAGCTTACTCCCGATCCTCTCAAAAATCTTTGAGAAAATCCTTCTCAAACGCATCCTACCCATAATCGAATCCCACAACATCCCTTCTCATCAGTTTGGATTCCGCTCAAGACATTCCACTGTCCAACAAGGCCTTCGTGTTGTGGACCATATATCCTCTGCACTTGAAAACAAGCATTATTGCACTGGTGCCTTTCTGGACGTAGCACAAGCTTTCGACCGGGTGTGGCACGATGGCTTGCTTTTCAAGCTCAAAACCCATTTACCCCAATCCTTATACCTAGTCCTCAAATCCTACCTCTCAAATCGTTCCTTTCAAGTCCGTTGTGACACCGCATTCTCCACTTACTATCCAGTTGAGGCTGGTGTTCCACAAGGCAGTGTCTTGGGCCCAGTTCTCTATATCCTCTTCACTTCCGATATCCCTTCAAATCCCGATACATTTCTAGCTACATTTGCTGATGATACTGCCATTCTATCTTCCCACTCAGATCCTCAAATAGCATCTCTAAACCTACAATCTCACCTCTCTTTGATTGAGCAGTGGTGCAACAACTGGCGCATCAAAATCAATGAATCAAAATGCAAACATATCACTTTTACCCTGCGACGCAGATCCTGTCCGTCAATCCTTTTTAATTCAATTCCACTTCCCTACTCAGACACAGTCCGTTACCTTGGCTTCCTTCTTGACAAAAGACTAACTTGGAACCCACATACCAGACTTAAAAGACAAGAACTTAACCGACGATATGGCCAGCTGTATAGATTACTAAGTAGGACATCCCATCTTTCGATTGAAAATAAACTTTTAATCTACAAGACCATACTGAAACCTATCTGGACCTACGGACTTGAACTGTGGGGAACTGCTAAACATTCGAATATCAAACGCATCCAATCCTTCCAGTCCAAAGTACTTAGAACAATAGTCAATGCCCCATATTATGTCACAAACAAGACCCTACACCATGACCTTAACATCCCATTTGTCCTCGACATCATCCCAACCAGATTCTCAAACTTTCACCAAAACCTTATCCATCATCCAAATCCTCTAGCTCAATCCCTATCCAGCTCCCTTCATCCCTACAATCCTCCACGAAGGTTAAAACGGCAGTGGCCCAGAGATCTCTTGTAAATATGCTTCTGGAGTCCTGGCAATGGCCAGCTTCTCCACTCATGTCCCGAGCGTCTGTGGCTCTAGTGCCCTCTTTCAGTCACCATTGGCTTCTAATACTAGTGATGCGGCTGGAAAAGTGGCACTGGGATCTCCTGGAGTCTTGCTTTGCCTTCCACATGTGGGGGAAAAAGCCTGGCTCGGAGATTCTTGGGCGAATGTATATATTGTATATAGGTATGATTGTGTTTATAAGTTTCTTTTTATGTTATTGTTTATTTATTTTTTTTTCTTTTATTTTCTTTCTTCATCAGTATTATTTATTTAATAATAATAATAATAATAATAAGGCTTAGCGAACCCGAAGGTCCGATGCCGACACCACCAATCGCTTGTTACACACCTCCCTCCACCGTTCGCCGTCCAAACCCAGTCCCTTCAGATCGGCTTTAATGCAATCTTCCCACCTTCGCTTCGGTCTACCCCTCAGACGCTTACCATTCGGCACAGCAAATATTAACCTTTTAGGAATTCTCTCGTTACTAAGCCCAACAACTTTACAAGCCCATTTGATTCGCCGCGAATTATTTATTTACTTTTTATATTTATATTTATTTCTCTATTATTTGTATATATTGTTTGAATGAGAACTCTTAGCCCTAATACTAATAGCCCTCCAGTGGCTGATTGTATTATTATTCAATAAATAGATAAAAAAAAAAAAAAAAAAATTAAGGGGGGAAACCTGGCAGTTGAGCGTAATCTCAAATCACCTCCTTGCATAACCACTGACTAACAAAGAAACAGTACTTTCCCTAAATAGTACTGAACCCAGGACCCTTCATGGGTTGTAGTGCCACAGGTTATACAAAAAGTATTGTATTGCTACTCATTTTATACATTTTACTGTGTAAATTACATTTGACATTTCTGAAATCATTTTTTAAATATACCTCCATACTGCTGACATCACAAAAGACAACTGTTCAGTGAACACTCTCCTTACTCATTAATACAGCCCAACACATAACTCATTAAAAAAACAGCTCACACAATAAATTACTAAGTGCCCTGCATACTTTATCTCTCACCAAACCACCATCGATTGACTTAACCACAGCCACTGTTGATAGCTAAATAAACACATGACACCACTAGTTCATTTTTAAAAGGTTTTTTCAATAGTAAAATTTCAATATCAATATAATCAAACAAAAATATTTATATTTTTCGAGCATCCATATCGTATAGAGCCCTACTTATTCTGGCCCAATGTAGCCTGCTTAGCTTGACAATTTTTGCTTAGCCGTTCAGTAAAGTGATAAAGTAAAAGTGAGTAATAAAGGTGTGACTATATGTGTTAATGTGATAAGTTTTGCATTTAGAACAATGTATTAAATTGACAGCGAAACTGAGTATTTTCAAGACAGTACCTGCTCTTTAACAAAATTAAGGTTCTCTGCGTTCAGATAATTCACGTTGAATAGGACTTTTCAAAGCATTAAGTAATGACATAAAAGTGATTTCACAAGAAATACA